AAGGCTCGGGAACCTCTTGCGGGCGGCTCTCGAGACGGTGCTGGAATTCTCCGTACTTGCGAATCAGGCGCTCGACTGGACGGGCCTCGCGGTCAATGCCCAAGTTGTATATCTCCTCTGCTTGTGTGAAGCGACCCGCGCCTTCTAACCAGGCCGCAAATTCTTCGTAGAATAGCGCAAGGTTCTCGCCGATGTTGTGTCGCGCAAGGTATGCGAACGTCTCGCGCGGCGCATCTGAGAAGAGATGGATGTAGTGCAGCCAGAGCTTGAGGTAGCGGGCGTCGTTCTTGTACTGCGGCGACGATTGGAAGGCTTTGGTTGCGCGCTCGAGCAGAGGGCAGAGTTGCGATTGAGGTGTGTTTTGTGCCGAGGGGTATGAATCGAGCGTCCATTTGACATAGCGGTCGTAAACATCTAACGGGTCGTCCGAGTCGTCAATCGCCATGAGCTCCTTCTCGAACTTGAGGCGGGCCGCGCTGTTCGCATCCTGCATCTGCGAAGGGGACAGCGTCTGACCAGCGCCGGAAGTCAGTGGTGGCGTGTATAGCTGCGCGAGTGCTTTGGCGGAGCGGCCGCTGGGAATGGACTGGATGTTTTCCTTCTGGCCTTCAATCACCTCGAAGTCGGTAACGTCGTCGGAACCCATGGCGCCGATTGGGGGGGTATCACAAAGAAAGAAGAAGAAGAAGAAAAAGGAGGGTATCAGAACTACAGGTACAGTGCCTGCTGTTGGTGTTGCTGCAAGCGGATGTGTATACCAACTCAGGGTACGCGGGGTTTGCATGTGGCATGATACGCTAGAACGCGCTTTGTCCTCTCCTGTCCTGAACGGCATCGTTGCCCCGACAACAATGGGCCGCCACCCACCACGTTGGGCACAATGTTCTATATGAGACGGTTCAACCACAACTAAGTTACTAAGCACTCACAGGCATATATGCTAGCATCGCCTCCTAGAACCTCTCGTCCAAGGCCAGTCCTTCCTTGAGACCGCGAGTTTCTCTACAAGACTACTCCCTCAAGACAAGCTGGAGAGCGATCCGCCTTTCCAAAGCCAAAGTCGTTCTTGCATTGGATAAAACCTCGTCTTTGCTGTACCACAAGTTCCTTCAATGTGCCGGTATACACCACCAAGTTGTCTGGGGCCCAGGCCTACGCACATCCCCGCTTGCCATGGCCGCAATCCTGGAAGAGCGAGCGGATGGAGTTGTTACCAGGATTTTCCTTTTTGTGAAACACCCTGAGGCTTACGTCATGAATCGAGGATAACTGTAAGATAGGCCAAATCTACGGCTACTAGCTGCTCGAGAGCGGTTATACGATATCGTCTCGGTATATCCTGGCGACCAAGAGCTTCGACCCGCTTGTTTGTCTTCTATGGAATACATGCATGTGTATTGAATCAATTGGCATTTCAGGATGTCTTTTCTGAAGACTGCTGACGAAGAGGCATTGAGAACCGTGTTGAGGGTTCCTAGGACTGGTGTTTGGCGCGGCGTTATGGCTGGTTTGAAGAATTATCGGTCTCTCAGCGATGCAGACAGGGCCAGGATTTCGCGCATGGCTATGGAGGTAGCGATCCCCCAGGGCAGAGTCGGTAAGATGTTCTGGCGGATGAGATCTCCTGTCGCCATGTACGGTCCGTACGCCATAACGTTCAGTTTGGCTCATGCCAGAGGCGTGGATGAAACCCGAAGACGGTCCCAGGAGCAAAGAAGAGGGCAGTGAATGAGATGACTGGCGATAACGATGAGTTCTCTGGGGAGGAAACGATGGTAACCTCCTGGAAGAAGTGGAGAATGGGAGGATAGGCAGGATAGGGAAGATGGGGGGGATGTCACACATGCACAGATTTATGCGTTCATGTATATGTCCATATATGTAGCATGTCCATACCAACGGCTATACGATCTGGCGTCCCTCTACCTCAACGACTCAGAACTGCGTCCTGCGTACTTCTCTGCCATGGATTATTTACACATATATCCACTCAGTCTTCACCTCTCGATCACGTCCATCAAGGCTGCCGACGAAGAAACATTAAGAAGCATCTTCACACTTCCCACGTCCGGCCAAAGCTTTCACTACTCCCTGGAGTGCATACGGGATCATCCGAGCGTGAGTAAACAAGACGCGGCTAGAATCCAGAGTATTGCGTCAGACGTGGGGATTCCGAGGGGTAGGCTCAGCGAATTGTTCTGGCGCACGAAGTCTACAGTCGCTATCTATGGTCCGCACGCCGTGACATTGAGGTTGATCGGTACCAAGCTCGCGGAGGACGAAGCCAAGAGCAGGAAGGACAGGAAACGCAAGAGGCTTGCACAGGGTGGTGATGGAGAGCTGGAGGGGGTAATTTCAGAGGACGATGGAGCGTCAGATGAGGTATTCTCCGATGATGAGATGTCACCGCCGTCGCCTAAGCGGAGGAAGACTTGATAGAAGATCAGCGTGCAGGAGGTCAGGTCAAAGAGAGGAAGTTGCGAACGTTATGGTTGTTGTTGTAGTAGTACACTATGAAGATGTGTATCCAAAGGTATAGTGTATGAGTACTCTAGCTGTTCAGCACCGTCGACGAAGCCGGCATTCATTTGTTCCAGAATGGTAGTGAAGTTTGAGTTGAAGCTTGTCTGTGCCGAGATCAACTAGTGAAATTGGCTTCACACCATCTTCGCCAGAGGGTAGCGAGCAGGTCACAAGAAAGCACACATAGTCAGGCTCATCTGAGAAAGCATATACAAGCATGTTAAGAATGTCCAAGGACAACTATTGACCCTCCAAATTCTACCAATTACCAATGTTCATCATCAGTGACCCGTCCCACCAAAAACAGCACGACAGCACATCCTAATAGAGAGTCGTCATGTAAAAATAGATACTGATCCTAACAAAAAACTCCAGACTCCCGCTGTTCGATTTGGTATATCCCTAAAACGAAAGCAAAAACATCATATGCACAAAGGCAAACAAAACAAAGGGAAAGTGACATATGCCGGATCGGGGTATCCCAAGGAAGTTCGAGCAGAAGCTCCGGTATCATATGGAAAGCGACAACAAGAGCCCTCACCGTCGTTGGCGATTTCTGAAGTAAAGGGCATGGGAAACAAAGCAAAGACCAAGAGGTGTCATGCTAACTGGATGAAAATACCAGACATATGTATCATTGCGTAAATCATAGGAGATTCGTTATTGTTCTTCGAGGTCGTGACATCGTGGGCGTGCTTGTAAGAAGTCGACGTAAATTGATGATGGCGATGTGTGATATAAAGGCGGTGAGGAAGCCATCAGCTGACAAGACCTAAGACCGGTTTTCCACGGCTTGCTGCTCGCCAGTGGCCACGGCGACAAGCGCTTCTAAGCGTCTCAAGTCGGTGTGCTGCGGTAGCGGCTGACCGAAGGCGGCGGGTCCCCGCTCGGGTTCTCGTTGTGGACGATAGCTTGAGCTCGGGGTGGAGAGGCTGTGGCTATGATAATGGTGCGGTTGCGACTGCAAAGGATGCGGCCTTTCCATGATTGATGCATGCTTGTAATCTTCGATGACTGGCGGCTCGACGTATCCATCGCTGCCCACAATTGTTGGATGATGATGCTCAAAGATAGTCCCTGGCGTGGGAACGCCTTCGCTACTGCTAGAATCTTCAGGCGATGTTCTCTGCATAGCTCGTTGTGGTTGACTGACAGGTCCATTATACCAGGCTTGGCGCTTGTTCTTTCTGGGCGTCGTAGGCTGTTCCTGCGAGGTTCTGGGCGAACCGCCGATGGAAGGTATCTGAATAGGCTGAACATTGGAAGGTTGTCGACTAAAGTACCCATGAGCGGTCGTAGGGCGTGCAGCATTCGCTCGTCCGGCACTGCCAGGGTATGGTTGTGACCATTGTTCCCTCTGAGAACTTGGGCCAGCAATGTTCAGACGGTCAATTTCCCAAGAAATACTAGTTCTCTTGTGGTGACCCCTGTGATGCGGCGGGTGCTCCATCGGCGCATGGTATGTGAGTGGGCGAGCTGGGGCGTCTACCTGCATTGGAGATGGCTGGCGTCGAGGAAGTGGAAGTGGAGGGGGTGCATGGTCGAAGCTTTCAATCCCCGGAAGACGGGTAGTTTGAGAAGCTTGAGAAGCAGCCGGTTGTGAAGTGAACAAAGGCCTTGGCTCATCCACGGTTTGGTGATATCCAAGTCCACTAGTTGCTGGACGAGGACCAGTGTGGCCATAAGTTCCTGGATGCCAAGTACGTCGCCTCCAGTCCGCATCTGCGTTCGAATCTCTCCTCGACTCTGAGAACTGAGATGCTGTAGGGCTAGCATATGCACTGCTTTGGGCTGAGTAGCTGGGTGCGGCGGTTGACTGCAGAGGTGTGATGTACGTAGGAGGACCCTGTCCTGGTGGACCAGAAAAAGGATTACCACTAGACGAAATGGATTCTCGTCGTCCTGGAAGAGGTGGTCCGGCCCATGAGACTGGCCTTGACGAAGACGAAACGGGAGATTGCATGGTGGACCCGAAGCGGGCGGGGCTGCCGGTCACGGTTGAGAAGGTAGCGGAGGTCGGCGTTGTAGGCGCGTTAGACTGGGTGTCATATTCGACGGGTCCGGGGCTACCCATCATGGGCGGATCGTAGGCGTTCATGGTATTGAGTGATAGACGCGCGCGGGCACTGGCACCACCATCGCTAGCCATAGCCAAAGGTGGTGGCCTACGCCGGATGTCGGGAGAAGGCGCCACGCTCATAGTCGAAGCGGTAGAGATTATGCTGGAAGCCGAGAGGTTTCTGCTGTGACCTCTACTGTGGCCGCCTGTGCTGCCTAATGTGTTCGCTCGAGATCGGTTTCCAGGTGGTCTTACTCTGTCGGTCCGGATCTGCCTTTGGAATCTCGTACCCGTTGCAGCTAGCGATTCCGAAGGTATGTCTTCGTTGACGTGAACTGTTTGGGCATGTTGTCGGAGGTTGTCGAGTCGCGAGAATCGCCGGGAACAGTGGCATTGGAAGGGTCTTTCACCAGTATGCTTACTGCAGTGTGTTAGCAATGTACCATGATCTATAGTGAGCTACGTACCGAATGTGTCGTGCCAGATGCTCACTTCTCGTGAAGCTTAGATTGCACGGCGGAAAGTCGGTACAAAAGAAGCGTTGTCCCTTCTTCTTTTTCGACGGCCGGTTCGAATCGCTGGTTACGCTATCGTTGTCTGAGCCGTCTTTCTCGTCATCATCGTCACCCATATGCACATCCCCTCCCGAGGTTGTTGGCCTATGCGAGTCTTCTCTACTTTGTTCGCTCTTGTTCGAAGCTGAAGGTGTCTCGCTCAGCTCGCGGCCGGGTGTAAACGGCGATGAGGGCAGTGGTCGCTGACCAACAAGTCCCGGTCCCGCGAAGGTGTTGCGTGTAGGCGTCTTAGCCGATGGGTCTTCGGCACGGATCTCTTCGGCCGCTTTCGATTCAGCAAAGAACCTGCTGTTCGGTCGGGGAGTAGTCGGCGTCGTCTCGTCACCCGGGCGGCCCTGTGGCGCATCTGGGACCGACAATGTGGTATTGACTGCTTGGAAGGTAGACATGTTGGAAGAGGCGGTGACCAGCAGTCTAATGATAGCCACCTCTTGTTCTGTGTCGTGCTGAGTGAGCTGCGCAGGCCTCCGACGACGAGCGCGTATAGCTTACGACCTGCACGACGGAGCTCGCTTTGATAGCGCCGGCGGTGTAAGACTGGAGAGTTAATGCAGGCGCAGGTCCCAGGCGGGTTGCCTCGAGCGGCGCAATCAGTGTGATACTGCGGGTGGTCCCTTCCTGGAGCGGATGTGGGAAGGCTGAAACGATATGATGACGAATAGAGGGCGGCGTTGCAACAACATCCGGAGTCAGCGCCCAGCGAGCAAAGTCAAAGAAAATCTACGAGGTCGTGTTAAAATCGATCGTTGCGTCGTAAAATCGTCAAGTTTGGGGTCGTTCAAAGGTGCACCAGTGGTGAGGGTTGAGCAACCACGGATACTCGGACTTTGGGCTGGGTGATAAGGCGCGGGATGGGATGCCTCAGGTGGCGGGGAGATTGGCCCCTCTTTGACGCAAGACTGGATGCGCACAAGGGCTCGAGTAGGAGCGGCAGGATGCGGCTCTTGTGGCGATGCAGCTAGACTGTGCAAGACCCGGGTATGAAGGCAGAGGAGCAGGTGTCGATGCAGGAGAGCGGAATCAGAGACGAACTCACGATTGCGTCGCAAATGCGCGAGGAGGGGTTGGTAAGGCACAGGACGGGATCTTAGCGGCTTTGTCGTGCGCCCTGGACGGACGGCCTGGCAGAAGGCTGGGGTTAGAGTCCGATCCACCTTGACAAAGGCACATCTTGTCTGCAGATCCTTGGAATTAGCGATGCTTGGCCCGCCGACCCAGACATGATGAAGAGGTGCAGCTGAGCCCCAGAGCATGCTCGCCCGCCTGTCAGACCACAGTACGTCTCCCTGATGAGCAGCACGCATCTGCCGTCAGGCAATCGGCCACGGCTGCAGGACATGGCATCATATCGTGCGGCGCGGGGCACTGGGCAGCACTGCCTGTTTCCGGTTGCTAAACGGTCATGGCACATGCTTGCAGCGATGGGTCAAGAACCTGACTATTTGCTCTAGGTCGTGCGTTATGGCCGGGACCTGAGCACGCTGGATATTGATGACGAAACACCTACCAACGCCCGCTGCCGTTTCACGTGTTATCAGATAGATCGGGACCATGTTGGCTGGCTATGCCATGGACGCGCCGGCGCGTTTGGCCAGTCCCGCAAGGCAAGTTGCGCGCCTGGGAGAAGACAGCCATAAGCAGACGAGCATGGCGTCGGCCTCCTGGCGAAGCTGACAGTGCCATGCCCAAGTAATTGGTTGACGCGGATAGTCGCTGCAAGCTAGCAGCGTGGGCGAGCGCCGATGCAAGGGGACTCGACCAGATCCACAAAAAGTGTTGTACCTTTGTACCTTGCCGAAGCGAAAGGCTAGCATCCGTGGTTCTGCCGGACTTCAGCGACTCAAATTTTGCGTCTTGCAGCGCGAAGGGCGCCAGAGGGCTGTTGAACGACGAGGCGGTCAGAGACGATAGTTTGTCCCCTGGCGTTGTCTGGCGCTGGCTTTTGAGCGGTGCGTGACAGTTTGTCGCCATCACACTCCATAGCTCGGAAGCGCTGACAGAAAGGCGGAGGACCCAGTGGCCTAACTAGTTCCTGGCAAGCAATGTGTGATTCGGTAGAATTGGGTGGACAGACGCGGGATGATACCATGGATCGCGAATATCGTGGTCATCTGCGCAGTGCGCCTCGTTTACGGCGTCGTCTCTACCGTACTTTGTCCCTTGTATGCTTCAAGATTCCGCTTCCGGTGCCTAGGCGAGACGCAACATCGCCATTGACACGTTGCTTAGGCGCATACCCACACGAGGAGCGTGCGCCGTGCCTACAAAGAAAGCACTCGTCCTTCCTGCAGCGGCAGCTGGTGGGTTGGTGGGACACATGGTGTATGCAAGCCTACATGTTCAAAATAGTAGCTTTACCGAATCATGCGAGCTTGTGTTAGCGGGCGAGCCAGATGTCTGGAAGCGTTTGTCGCCAGCGGTGGCGTTGGTGTTGAGGGAGCCATTACTCGCGTGCCATCGCGAAGCTATCGATAGTGGAGCCAACGCTCGGAACGTGCCTGTGCCTGCCTCCAAGCAGTGTGATAGCCCGTGCACCGAAGCGCGAAGACCGAGGTAAGAGTCTTATCGATTATACAGCAACTCGAGATGCACACGGTGAAAGTCGGTCTTGCATGCAAGTCAACAGGCCCCTCCTCAGTACTCGCACAACAGCTTAGCACCACGTTTCATCGCCATGCATTTGACGCTGTGTAGCAATGACGGGCAGCTGCCTCGCCGCACAACTGTAGTACATTAACACAGCCGAGGTGGCCAAGAACAAACAGATGGAAGCTGGTATCACATTGCTGTATAAGTCATGATTCGCTTGGTGCGACTCCCAGTCATCACTCCACCACCCAAGCAATGCTGATTTCTTCTTCGGATCTTACGCCAATGCTACGGTATCAACCCACTCAATCCACACCGCCTAATGAACAAGTATCCACATATATCCGGTGCTTACTGCACAACCTAAGTGAAACGTCAGTATGCGCTTCGGGCAGGCAGCTGACTCATTGGTCTACCTTTTCTCGGAGTTTGCTGATCCATTGGACGATGGATTCACCCTGATCTGCCCGGTCTTCGACGAGGAGTGTCTGTGTCCACAGCTTGAGGGCTGGGTCGCCATCTTCCTTGATAATGTACAGCGTAGGCAGAGTAATTGAGCCCACGCCCTTTGACTTGTGGTCTCTCGATTTCTCGACGACTATCTTGTGTTAGCAATCTGACTGTATAAATCATCAGTAATGTCAACTCACCCGCTCGCACTCGCTCGGAGTATTCATTGTCAAGAAGGGGTAATGAAGCTTTGCCCTGTTTCAATTGTGTGCGGTCTTCGACGCCAAATACATCATTCAGGAGCGCGGGGACAGCATCTCGGCCAATCCACCTGGTCACGTTAGCTCTGTATCAGGAATGAATCTGCGCTTGTACTTACAAGAACTGGTTCACACCGTCGTCCAGAAGGTAAAGACCGTAAGGCACGATGGCTGCACTGGAAAGGTTCAATGCCGGTGGCATCGTGATCTGACCAGTGGAAGGTTCGGGTACACCAGCATCATCAGGCATATCGTGGAGTGAGTAGAAAGACGGGTAGATGTACTGCGTAAGTAGGCGCAATGGCAGCGTTGAAAGAAGGTCGAGAGCTGCTGATCGGAGATCGCTCGGAATCTGAGCGCTCTTGCGAAGACCAACGTTCTTGATGAGTCCCAAGAACAGTATGGGAAGAGCGCGAAGATTTTGCGGTAGTTGTAGCCCGCCACCGCCCATGCTACCGCCTGCCAACTCCTTACGATAGGTTTGCAGGATTTCGATTATCTTGGCCTGTAGTGCGTCTCGTGCTGCGTCAAGACCGCTCGACAATGCTCGCTCAACTGCCTTGTGACTGAAGTAGGTAGTGATCGCTTGCGCGTCTGCTGACGCATAAACTGATGCCAGACTCTCAGTCGTAGGCACAGCAAGGGTCAGAACTCTGATACGGCGCTGACCACTTGAGGTAGTGTGAAGCACAGCAGCCTGGAGACAGGCGAATGGCTTTGAGATCGTTTCATCGATAGCGACTTCGATTACCACAGCTTGATCTCTGGGGTATGCTGGGAAGGCGCAGAGGTCGGACGAGCGGTTGAAGAAGTTTCCGTAGAATGCAGACATTCTCAGTCCGGTAGTAGCGCGCACTCGGAGAACGGCCTCCAGACCGATCTCAGCAGACAGATAGTCAGCCAGCTCGGTTGCAATCTTGACAACATCCTCTTGTCTTGCTGCGTTCCATCCAGGGTAAAAGTATGTCTGGCCGGCAGTGAATCGCGGAAGGTTGCTCAACGTCGCAACATCTTGGTACTGTGAGGAGAAAAGGAACATATCCACCGACACCTGGTTCTTAGAGCATTCTACCGCAAACGACTTGTACCAGTTGTTCGCAGGCTGCAACAGACTGCCTTCTTTTCCGGTGCCCAGTAGCGACTTGTCTTCTCGAGGGCTCAATGCTGCATGGCCAACATTGGGTAGCGATGCGGCAATGACAGTCAACTTTCCTCCGAGTGGGGAAATGAGCTTATGTGCGGATCGGAGAGCTGAGCCCAGCGCAAAGCCAGGGACGTGTGTGTTTTGGAACATGGTCGGAAGGCGGTCAAGGAACGTCTCGATGTTGTTGCGGCATTGGCTAAGGCTGACCAGGAGGTCCGAAGGCATGGGGAGGTAGGGCTCATCGAGGTCGGAAACTACAAGCTGTTGTGGTTCATTGGATTCGCTGTTGTCCGGAGGAATGCCGAAGAAGTGCAAGCCATTGTCGACCGCCTGATACATAGTTAGCTTGCGCACCATATACCTTGAGTATGCGCGTTACTTACCATGAATCCAATGCGTGTCCGACCGTCTGCGTTTGGTATCCGTCCAAGCGACTCCTTGATGACCCTTGAGACCACGGCGAGCAATCCGCTGTTGACAGCACCTTGTGTGCAATCCAGCAGGATGTAGTAGCATAGAGGCTGTGGAGGGCGAACCTGCAGAGATAGAAGTACGAAGTCAGCATTGGTCTCACATGCACTTCGTACAGCCAGCACTTACCATATATTCTTGCGGCGCGACAAATTCGGTCACGGCGTAGTTGAGCTCGGGTCGCTGCCAGCGGTCCACGCTCTTCTGCTGTGCTGCATCCCAATCGAATGCTTGAGGGACGTCGTTGGTCAGGTTGCACATGTTGCACCTCCACCTGTGACCATGGTCCAAGAATGAAACGAAGGGATTGATGTAGGCGCGGCATCGTCGACAACGGCTAATGACCTGGTCGTGCACTACCGGCACAGGGTCCTCCGAATCGTGCAAGCTCGCATACGGGCTTATAATGAGGGCGAAAGGAAGCTTGCTCTTCTTGAGCAGCGAGTGGTTGGTGGGGATGGTGTTGAGCGTACAT